AGTCCTTTTTTGTCTTTATCCTTTTCTATTTCGAGTGACTTCTCCAGGATAGGATATCAAATACCCTGACACTACTTAAAATATCTATATTTGTCATTTTTATTATTTCCTATGATTGTTTTGTTTTGTTATTATCTCTAGAGCTCTTCAAGTCTATTTGTCGTCTTTTCTGATATCTTTCAATTTTTCATTGAGTGCTTGTATTACTTATTTTGAACATTTTATCTTAGTCTGCTTTGTTGTCTATAATTTCTGAGATTTTGTATAATTATCATTTGAACTCCTTTTCTGTCTCCTTGTATAATTTTTCTTTTTATTATATATATTTTATTTTAAAGATGTGGGGTACAATTCAGGATTAGGTATACAAGTGGGCATCATACAGGTAACGTTTGGGCTTCCCTTTGGGCCCCAGTTTGCCTGGCTTGAAATCAGATACCCCTGGATGTTATGTACCCCTTCCCCACCCTGGTGGTATCCCACTACTGCTAATTCCTTTCTTATAGTATTACGGTAAATGTTATCATTTTCCTTATGATATAGGTTGTTTACATTTTGATTATGTTACTTCCTCATTTTAATCTTTTAAAGACCTTTTACAATTTTATTAGTTTATATTTTCCAACTTCTGTTATGTGCTCTAGTTGTTTCATAAGATGTACTCATCTTGAATGGGACTGATTTAAGAATAGACGAAGAAAGGACAGAGGAAGAATGAGTTAATGAAGCCGAGATCCTTGATTAAACATGACTGCCCTAATAAATTCCTTCCAAATCTCTACTTATATTTTACCCTAGGCATGTCTCTTCTTAATTGTCTGAATCCATATATTTTGAACTTTGGGTAGTTCTCTGGATCCAGGCATTCAGGGGCACACACAGTGAAAACCCTTATTTCATCATCCCTTCGTTTTATGATCTGGTGATGTCCCATTCTTTCCTCTCCTTTACTTAGTTTTCTCTGACAGTGTTCTCCACGAAAGGTGAAAGATTACAGATAAAGTCACATGTGAGTCTGATTTATCTCTCAATTTCTTATTTTCTATACTCTGGGTTTGTAAAATTGTATCTCTAGTTATAATCAATACTGTGACTCTAGACCTGACAAGTTAATGCTTTACCTGCACCACATCAGGAGTTCAGCAACTGTCTTTGTCTTTATGTGTATTTTATACTATTTGATAAATATGTTTCATAATCTTTAATTTTCAAATATACTCATATTCTTGTTCTAATGAAGGTGCTATTTTGATGGTTTTTCTTTGCTTTTATTCCCCTCTATATCTCATATAACAGGAGAGAGCGCAAAAATTCTTTTGTACTGGAGTTAACAAAAACCACTTTCAGAGGAAGAAAGTATGCCCATAGAATATTCAGTCAAGAAAACCATAACTTTCCTAATATACTAAAACACATACATAAATCTAATAATAATAAAAAAACTGTAAGTTAATACTGCTTCAGTGTCAATCAGTTAAGTATTTTGGAATATTGCCAAGAATGTTTATTTTATGTTAGAAAATATAACCATAGCTTTTCTTTTTGGTAATTTTGTTTTTGTTTTGTTTTTTTTTTTGAGTTGGAGTCTCCTCTGTTGCCCAGACTGGAGTGCAGTGGCCGCCCCCGGCCACCGCAGCCTCGACCTGTGGGCTCCGGCGATTCTTCCGCCTCAGCCTTCCGAGTAGCCGGAATTACAGGCATGCGCTACCACGCCCGGCTGATTTTTTGATTTATTGTAGAGATGAGGGCTCACTGCCCAGGTGGGTCTCGAGCCTGCGGGCTCAGGCAATCCACTCACCTCAGCCTCCCAAAGCACAGGATTACAGGCTGAGCCACCGAACCCGGCTTTTTGTAATTTTTAGAAAGTTTTTTATTTATTATTATTACCACTCTTCTTGTGTGACCATGAGTTGTGTATTTCCCAAGCAAAATAATCTAAACTTTTCTACTTTTATTGAGGGTGGGAAAAGGAAGAGGATGATGACTACATTAAAAAAATTCAAGGATATTGTCAAACCATTTACAAGCCAAGGTATGTATTTTAAAGAGCATGGATGTAGATAAAACATATCCCAAAGTGATTGTTTGATTCTAATGAAAATAGTTTTTCTTTTTCTTTTTGCATTGTTTTTTCTATTTTCATTTCTTTTTTGTACATCTGCAGTGGTGTGTCAGCTCATGTTAGATTCTCCAGGTAGTAACAAATCCTGCTATCTATCTATCTATCTATCTATCTATCTATCTATCTATCTATCAGCTATCACCATTTTTCTATATTGCCTTAAGTTATTTTATATCTTAGAAACAGCAATTCAGAAACAGACAATCTAGAGTTCATGAGAATCAGAAACAAAGAGTCTTCTGTTTTTTTGTCCTAACTACCTTTCTTGCTCCTTCATAATCTAAGACAACATTCCAGCCAGCAAAGGAAGAAATAACAAAGAATCAAGGACAAGGTATATTTAAAGGAGATTTCTTGAAAGCACAGCTAAATGTAGCTGTGAGACTAGGTGATATATTGTATTCCAGAAAAACTGTGTTGTGCCTAATGTTAGGGGTATTCTTTGAAAGAAATAAGAGAAGAATACTTATTCGGTTACATAATTGGCAGTCTATACCATAAGTTTGATGTTCACTTGGGGTTTATTTCTAAGTTCCTAAGTTATTTCCTCTTTGAGTAATAATTTTTGCATCAGATGACACAGATTTTGCTATCGACATTATAATTTCTTTTATATATACAATGAATATGTTTACATCAAAATGTACACTTTCTCCCCCATTGTAGATGAAAATTCCAATACATTCCACCAGTAAATATATAAGCAATGTCTAGATCTAGTTCAAGTACAATACTTCATTAAATTCTCATTCACATTTGGGTCTTTTAAAAAAAATCTTTCTCTAATAGTCCAATAATCTGCTTTTTTATGTGTACCTGGTCACATAATTACGTCAATGACTATAGTGTGTTACCTTTTTGAGGGTTTATAATAATGTTTGAATACATGTTAGGAAATGTTTCATTTCATTATTAGAGTTTCAAATTTTTCTACATAATTTATTTTTTAGATAAGCTTTCTACTTCTAAAAATCAGCTGTTTTACTTCTAAAAATCTTTTTAATATTTCTCATTCTTACTGTGTAAACTTATAGATGAATATGTCGATAATGTTGAGTCTATTGAAAAACATGGCATGACTAAAATTGTTCAATTGTAAAGCTTGTGTCCTTGATTCACACTATTATTCCAAATAGATCTACTGACACAATTACTTTTATTTCTAAATATTTTGTTGATGTTATAAATGAGAACATTTCATCTATTATATTTCCCAGTTGCTTTTATATACAAAAGTCATTGATTTATATATACTAATTTAGTTCCTAACCATTTTACCAAATTTTCTTTTTCTTTGTCGTTATCCTTCCAGTTTATTCTCTTATATTTCCCAAACACTATTATATCATTTGCAAAAATTATACTATCACTTCCGCATTATCAACTTTATTCCTCTAATTTCTTCATCTTTACTCACTTTATTATCTAATATCCTCAAAGAAAAGTTAAATGATTATAATGCTAGTAGTCATTTTGACCTTATTTCTGACTTTAAAAAGAATGCTCTTAAGTTGTTTCCACTGAGACTGATTCCAGCATTTGGTTTGAGAGAAATGCATCTTATAGTACATATCCATGTATTCAGTTTTTATACTCATATATCCAGTTGGAATGTACTTTTTAAATGTCCAGAATGCTTGTGTCTTTGATCCACACCATTATAGCAAGTCCTACTGCTTCCTTTTTATATTAATATATCTACAAAATTGAATAACATGAGCAAATGGCTATTAGGTAAATAATATGATAGGAATAAAGAGTTGAATCACGCTGAAAGATATTTAATTTGGAGCATGCCATCAGTGGGCAGTACCCTTAACCTGCTAGGAAGCATACAGGTCTAATTATGTTAATGATAGAGTTTTTAAGATGCACTACCTATTAATGGTTCTATCTATGTGAATAGAATCCAAACAGAGGTTGAAACAAGAAAGGAGGATGTTTTTCCCTCAGGTAAAATTTAGATGTAGGAAGTCGGGGATAACACATGGCTCCACAGTGTTCTGGAACTCAGGCAACCTCCACTTTTGCATTTAGTCATCCTAAGATAGTGTCTTGTGCTTATGGGTCAAGATTGAGTTTCAACCATCACATCCATAATCCAAGACATAACATGGAGGAAAGGATGAGAAAATGCCCTCCATTTGGGGACATGTCTCAGAAGTTGTAGGTGCTATTTCTGTTTATGTCCCATTGGTTAACAATCACATGCTTGCTTGTGCAAGGGACACTGGAAATTTAACTTTAATTCTGGAAGACTACATTCCCAGCTACAATTTTAAGATTTTTTTTAACTGATAAATAATGGAAAACGAATATAGGGAATTAACCAGCAGGGTTTGTTTTGTGTGTTATTGTTTCCAACAGACTGACTTTTTCTATTGGATAGAGCTAATTGGATACACTTTAAGCTTCTTTCTTGAAGTAGAAAGTTAACTGAGTCACACATAATTTTCAGTATGACTTTGCACAACATTACAAACCATAATTTTCCATCTTAAGTTATTTAATATTTTCTCTGAACTATGTTAAAGTAATTTTATGAAAGGGAAGCATTCTACTGCCATTTGTGATATATTTTGTAATCACTGTGAAACTGTGAAAATTCTGGAAGGTTTTGGTTGACAAGCAGTTTTATCCAATATATTCTAAACAACCTTCACCTTGTATTTAGATTCTGACACAGTATTCTGACACTGAGGAGGCTGAAAAATCCAATTATCTTAAATGCTAGCTAATACAATAATTTCCTCTACATTTTCACCCTTTCCAAGAAATAAAAATGAAGTGTTGATAAGCTGCGATTTAAGAAAATATCCTGACTTCCTCCTCCATTCTCCAATAAAAGCCCTGCCATAATCTCAGTCCCCATCTTTGGCATGATGGCTTTTCTTCCGTCCTGGGTTTGTGTACTTGTGGGCTGCTTTTCTGCTTCTTTAGCAGGGGCTTCCAGTCTCTCTGATATGGAGCCCCCTCTGTGGAAGGAGAGTCCTGGTCAGTTCAGTGACTATAAGAAAGAGAATGAAATGTATGTTATTAATCCCTGGGTATACACTGAGAGACTGGGGATGTATAAGATCCTATTGAATGAGACAGCCAGGTATTTTGCAAAATTTGCACCAGAAAATGAGCAAAATATTTTATGGGGATTGCCTCTGCAGCATGGCTGGCAATATAAGACAGGTAAGAATGACTCTCATTTTCATTCTAATGGTCTACCAATAGAACCATGAGGTATTTGGGATATGGGACTCTGTATATACCCTACCATGCTTCTGAAAATTGATTCTTTATCTTTCCCCGTTTCCCCTTATAAACATTGCTTTTCTACTTTTCCTTCTTCACAGGTCTTCCTTTATAGGCTGTCTGTTTTTATTTAAATTTCAATGAGGCATACGTTATAGTTATCCATGACAAAAAAAATCATAGCTAACCTATTGAACGTTTAAAACATATTTCTGAAACTTCCACTAAGTGCCACACTCCTTTCTAAATGATGAGATGAACAGAACAGTCAAGGGAATATACATTAAAAACAGAAAGTGATGTCAAATTGGTTTGAATTTCTTCACTTTCTAATTGTGATTCCCTGATTATGGATATGAGGTGAAAAGGAGCAACACCTTGTTCATGAGGCTGTTTCTCCACAAGTGACCGCGTCCTCTTGGAAATAAAGTACCTCGCAGAGCAGAGACAGAATAGATATTTGGGAACAATATATTCCTAAATTGAAGGATATATTTTGTTCACGAGAAAGAGTGGTACCTGTTGCCCACCCTGCCCTGATAACAAAGTCAATAAGAAAATTATTGAGAGAGAGATTAACAATATAGCAATTTCACTTGTTTTTTAGTATTTATGTGCTAGTATTTATGTACTAGTATTATGTACTAGTATTTATTATGTACTTATTTACTTATGTGCTTATGTACTAGTATTTATTATGTACTAGTATTTATTACATACTAGTATTATGTACTAGTATTTATGTACTAGTATTTATGTACTAGTATGTACTAGTATTTATGTACTATATATATCAGGTGACACACTTTTGACGCTTTTCTCATTTTATATATCAACCTTATGATGTAGTTAATATTATCATGCCCATTTTATAGATGAGGAATCTAAGGCATTGGAGGTTAAGTTGTTTAAACAAGATCAAGCTAGTAAATGATAGGGCAGGGATTTGGTTTGACCCTAGACCATCTCTTTTAATATGAATGCACACTGCTTCCTGAATTTTGACCAGGAGGTAGAAGAGGAAGTAAAAGAGCGAATACTTACAAAAGCAAAGGATATTTAAGAGCTATAATTCAATAGTAGAACATTGTGGTGTTGTTAAGGAAAAGAAAATAGATTGATTGAGAGATAGAAAACAAAAGATAAAGAGTCTGGCAATACAAACACAAGTCATTTAGAAATAAATGCTTTCACATGTATGAGCAAAATGTATCCACTTAAGCAACAATTACAGCCAATTTCAAAACGTGCATCATAAATACAACTGTATATCCTCTCTTCTATAGGCAGATTAGCTGATCCAACTGGAAGGACCAACTGTGGTTATGAATCTGGAGATGAATTGTGCATTTCTGTGGACAGTTGGTGGGCTGGTAAGTACACTTCAATAGCAAAATGGATAGTAGCCTTTCTCAAAAGAAAGCACTCAAACCTAAAGTCTCAGGGACAGAGACAAAACAAAAACAATCCTGTTCCTTTCTAAAAAGGAATGCACTTTGCCATGTGCTTTGTAGCCTCTATGGCACATTGAAAGTTTTAGTGACCTCAGGATGACATGATTCCTTAGGACACATTCAGTTTTTTATAGGACTGAAACCAGGAACTGCAAAGGTCAATGGTCTCTGAGGGCCCAGCACTGGCAGGTGGGTAGGATGTCCCACTAGTGTCAGGGAGTCTCCAGAATGAAGGAGGATGAGAAGTGAAAGAGAATCAATCAATCAATCAATCATGATAGTAACATTAATAATATGTTGAAACTCATAACATATTGTCAGAGATCAATGCCTACTGCAACGTATTTTATTAATCAGTAATCTAGGTCTTTCATCTTATATCTAATGCTACAACTAGAGAGTATTTTTGAATTCTTTAGGGTAATTTTATGCTTTAATAATGAAACTAATGTACACAACAATCACTTAGAGGCATTTTCTGGTAGTTAAAAACATGACCACCCTGAATTTTCCTTTCCCAGATTGATGCGTGTCATATGTACCCTTACATGTTTTTCTCATCCATCCATTAATCTTTTTTTTCTTTTTTTAGCCTAGACTCAGATAGTCTTGGTCACAGATCTAGAATTCAGAGTTTGTTATCCTCAGATTGGTTTAGTAGTTTGGAGTACCAGTCTGTTACACTGGGCATAAGGTACAGTTACAGACACATGTTTATGATGAAATATTTTACATCATTGATTTCTAGTGGGATTCAATATAAGCCTAATATGCAACAATGAGAAATTATAACATTTAAATCTGCTGAAATAAGTTATCTATGGGTGCGATTTAAAAAAAAAAATAGAGTTTTATTTGACTGTCAACTCAATCATTCAATGATGCATTGCCAACACTTACCCCAATGTTTGTTTTAGAGACACAGAATAAGGCAAAAACTTAGTGATTTCATGGTTACAAATTAAGCTTACATATATAAGATAGGAAATCGATATTTATTAAAGCTATAATCATGCTAAAGTATTTTAGAAAAAATACAATTCACAATAAAAACTTAATGAGAAATCTTGTACCATTCTGTGGACAAGCTGATAGTTTTCTTCCTTTTTTACTTATGCTTCAAAAAATCAATATTTCAAATAAATTAAAATTACTTGTTGTCTTGAAACATCACAGTCAAGTAATTTAACATATATATGTGTGTATATGTATGATTATAGAATTATTAACAGAAACATGTTAAAGTTATATATAGTATATAATGCTTAGGGGAATTTTTTTCAATATTTTTTCCTAGTGTCTTTTATTAATATTACGTGTTTCTGAATCTGTGAGTTTGTCCTTAAATGACTTATGGCTTCCTTAAAAATGTCCTCTTTGACATTTGTTAGTCCTGGTGGTAATAAAAAGTCTTTTGTTCTTTCAGATTTAAATTATTTTCTGTCGTCATTACCCTTCCTGGCTGCAGTTGATTCTGGCATAACAGAAATATCAGCAGATCAAGTTGTGCTTTTGCCACCACTTAAGGATCAAACGAAGTTTTGTTATAGTGTTTCTAGCTGTGGTTCATCCTTTCGTGAGACAATGAACAAGTGGAATGCCTTTTACCAGGTTCCTTCTTTTTGTAGGAGATGGAAGAGAATTTGTTTTGTTGTGTAACACTTTTTTGTCTAGGATATTTTGTGCCTTGTATAATATTTTCCTTAGTATGAAAATTCTTAAATTGCTATGCAAGATATATTAAATGATATCTGTTATAGCAGGGCATTATGTGTATTAACACCCATTCTGTGTCCCAATACAGCATTAACATAAAAATCTACTGACTCTTCTCACCTCAAATAAATTATACACAAATGGTGAGCATGCAGGATACTTTGCTGAATAGTTAACAGGCTCTTCTGTGTAATTGAAACTTCAGGTTGACTATAGGATTTGGGAGAAATGTGATCATTGAATCGGTTTTAAAACAATCAACTTATTTCAACTGAATTAATAAATATTCACATATGGGTAGAACAAAAAATTATGTGTTGCTCAAAACAAAATATTCAGTGACCAAAATATAATACATTGGTTAGACACAGATATACATGGACTAAAATCGATGAGGAAAATATAGAGTTACTAGTTCTTTAGGTTATTAATTCATTACTCTAGATTTAATTAAACAGTCAAACAAGACTTTTTCTTCTTATTCTTAAGACGTTACGGTAATCATAATAATGTTAATAGAAAATTTATTACAAAGCATAAAGATCTCCTGACCAGTGTAAAATATGAATGATCTGAAGATACCTGAAGTTCATTTATTTTAGATGCATGAGCTACTATTAAGTGTAATGAATTTGTTTCTATCTTTTAGAGTGTTAGTCTTACACATAATCATTCTTAAAAACAAAATTTTCCTTTCCTGTAGAATTTTGCTAAATTATATGTATGAACATGATTGAATTTCAAGGAGAGAAATTGTTACAGTTCCTCAAATATTAATAAGTTTGACCTTTTTAGCTTTTGCAGTCACCGCTTAGTAACTTTGATGACCTATTGAAGTCCTTGTGGGTTGCACATACCTCAACCTTGAAAGATACTATCAAAAGTTTTGAAGACAGGTAAGAATGGATATAAATCCATCTCTATTTAATATGCTAAATAGTTTTTTTTATCTTATTTATACCTTTTTTTCCTTCTTGAGTGATTTTTCAAACTTCATGTTAAATATAAGTCTCACTATTGGGGATTTTAGTGATGAGGTGTAAATATTTTAGCATGATCAACCTTCTAAAATATTTTAAGAAGATAGGGCAAAAATCTGAGGAAAAGAAATTTGCATCAAAAAACAAACAAATAAAAAAGATGTAACAAATTTCTCCACTTGCATAAAATAAAATATAAATATGTAGATGACCTTTATTATTTTGATCATAGGTAATGTTAAAAGAAAGATTTTAGACTTTAATTTAGAAATTAAATTTAGCAGAATTTATTTAAACAAATAATCATTTATGAATAGACCATCACCTTAAACCAGTAGAGGTTCAGAGAACTTCACCAGTAATAGAGATAGACAGTGTTTATAAGAAACAAGGGGGGGAGCATATAGAAACACTTTAATTGGTTAGAGCTCTCCATTTACCTTAAATGGATATAGTTTAATCAGCTGGCAGCCTGTGATTAGCTGTGAGCTCAGCTATTTGTTACAAGAATATACTGTTAAGTTAGGTTGCAGTTTGTTTATATACTAAATTAGGTGGCAGTTTGCTATGCATAGAAACAGCTTTAGGCAAAACCTAGTTTAATTTAACTATTCCTCCTTTTTGGTTAGTCTTTCAACTTGAGAGATTAACTAAAATCTTGGACATTGACACCACTCTTTGCTACCATTATAGTGGACTTGTTTGGTCTCAATATAGAATTCACAATTCACGATGCCAGGACAGTTGACTGATGCTTTGTGTTCTCTTTATATTTTCATTATTCTAACTGTAGGGAGACCATTCAACATAGAATGGATGACTGCACAAGAGCATTTAAGATTCAAGAGAATAAGGTGCACCGGGGAGACTATTATGACAGCTCTCAAGAAGTTAATACTAAGAGACTGAAGTATAATCCTTAACAAAAGCCACCATGAATTGGAACAGTCAAAATAAGATATATAAAAAGTGAGCCAGAAAAGAAATCTATTTGTTTTAACCAATTAGCTTGTTTGTTGATTTCTTGCAAATGAGATTTTACCACACTAGATGTATTTATTCAAGTACAGCAGGAAGAATTAGCTAGTGCACATACTTCCCTCTGTTCAGTGAACAGGTAGTCTAAACCAATCCTGACACAAAACAAATTGATTCCTTTTCTGTCTCATTTTTGATATACCTGATTTTGGCTAGTCCAGTTCATGATGGCTACCTAAAACAACTTTAGCAAGAGAATCTAATGGAGTTTGTCAGGAAACTGTAGCCGTTGCAGTGGGATCAGTCATAGTAGTTAATGTTTGAGACATAATTCTAATCATAATCTTATTGATATTTATGCCAAGCCAGAAAAGGCACATTCTACTGAAAGACCCCATTTAGAAGGATTAACACATGCTGAGAAATTTCTCATTGTTTCATAGTGTAAATGAAGAAGTACAGACCAATGTCTAGCTCCATTTCGTTATGGAGTGACAGTGGTAATGTTAGAATTCCTAATCCACATTGGCTCATATTTTCCACTCGTTGAGACATGGATTTACCCACATATATGGTTGTTTGTTAAATCCTTCAGACAGTTCTCCATGGAATGCCTTATGCATTAGGGGTTACCAGTAGAAACACATTAGTAATACTAGTCTAAGACCCATTATTGAGTCATCACATGGTTGGAGAATACTGACAATTAAGTATTCTCAAACAAAGTATTATAACTTTGTCCACAAACTGTCGAATTATCCTTCTTTTGACTTTTTAATTCAGGGTTTATCCTAATTTAATTGCAAAATTCTCACTATAAGATTTGCCCATTGTTAGAGTTAAACAAGCAACATGAATACTTCAATCCCAAAACTTAACCTTATAGAAAGAACCAGATATTGCATTTCGAATATCAGTGACATTTATTACATAGTGAACAAAATATGTCTAAGATCATGCAAGAATTTAGTTTTAACATGACATAGCCAATATTTAATTAAGTTCCCTGTAGAAGCTACTGATTATGATATCTTAGTCATTACATTATCTTGCCATGTATAAACAGAAAAGAAAGACAGCCATAGAGGAAAGAGGAAAAAGGGAGGAAAGGTTCCATGATAGAGGAGGGGAGTCTTGGTGATCTATGAATTTGGGAAAGCAGTCCATGTCTAGGGTACTATCTGTTCCTGGAGAAAAACTACCTTGGTCAGCTTTGCCTTGAAGACTCCAATGGGTGTACAGGCCCAAGACTCTGAAGAGGCCCACTTGAGTTGATAAATCTGGATCCAAGACTTGAAGCCTTGATGTTTTGCATGGTTTCATCTGGAGTTCAGTCTTTCTCTAGTGTCATTTTCAAAAAAAGACCTTCAATCTCTGGGTTCTAGATCACAAAAGCTCAGGTTGCCATTAGTTTGCAGGTCACAAAAGGCTTTTTTTTTTTTTTTTAACCTGGTGAAAATATGCTTTGGCATAATCCATTAAGACCTTGCAATACTGAGTCAAGTTAGTGTTCACAATAGTGTGAGTTACATGAGGTTCTATTATTATTAGGGATGTCGGCCTTCCAATAACTATTTCATAATGGGTCAACCTATGTTTTCCACTGCTGTCAATCAGTAATACCTTTGACCAATGCAATCCAATTTATTCAGTTATCTTTGCCTAATGTTATTGTGTTTGTAATGCCTTATTTAGCTGTTTTACAACTTTTAGGGTGAAATGTACACCTCTATTGCTAGAGGTCTCCAGAAATGCCCCATAAGGGAAGCACATTTTCTAATAACCTTTTTACTATTGTTATAACACTGACTTGAGGAAGCTTTCCTAGCACCTTAAAGCATGCACTGAAGGTGGCAATTGAATGACATTCATCTGTAAGCATTCAAATGATCTGACAGGTGCCAGAAATTTATCACCTGAGGTTTTTATTGTCTTTCCAATATTATCAGTTTGACAAACCAAACACTGGTTATAGGTTATTTTAAAAGTCACCCCATCAATAGTTTTTAATTATTTGGATCATTTTTTTCTCATACATGTGGAGTCATGGAGTGTAGGGCTTTTAATAACTGATGTTTTTTAAGGACTTAGGAAGAGCCCGGGCAGCCATCTGGACTCTCTGTGAGTCTACTCTTCTCACTGGGCATACATCCATTTAAATACCAGTTTTGTTTCTCCAAACCAGGTGCATAGCATTGTTTATGAAATAGGTTCTAATAAGCAATTTGTCTTGGATCAATCTATGGAATTCATTCAAACTGCATATCTTAACAATTTCATGTGCTTGCCTTTGACAAGAAGCTTTGTGTACTTTTACAATGATGACTAAGTAAACTATGAGCTAAGGGCAGAGGGTTGCAGGTACCGGTCATGACTTTTGATTACCATCTCTCAACCTTCAGGGCCACAAAGACCTTCTAAATAATGAAAGTTGCTGTCTAACTAGATTTGGGATTTCTTAGAACATAATATCTGTATTTTGGGTAACTCCTTATTGTTTTGGTTATTCCCTGTACTGGTAGGTAGTTCTGCATTCCAACTTGCAAGGTTATCAGGTCTGATATACCTGGTCAGTGAGATGAAGGTTGAGTACAGATAAGAAAGATGTCTAAACACTTATCCTATATTAATTAAGATCTGCCTAAAGAAACCTGCCTAACTACTTCTAAACTATGTCAACTCTCTGACTCACAGGGAACACATCTTTCTCATAGGAATTTTATCTTGCTTACATCTATTTAACTCACTTGTTTTTAAGAATTATGTTTGGATTGCTCATGAAAATAAAACATTAAAAAGCTAGTCACATCTTATTTTGTAATATAGAGATAACATTAGTTTATTTTATCAATAAATCTAGGTAGGAAAAATCATGCATCTGTATAATATTTAATGCTAACTACTCTGAAAGGATGCCTGCTTTAATCAAGCCAATAATATTCTTATTTACCAAAGATTGACAAAATCATGTATACTCAAAAGAATTTAGGTCAGTTTTTTTTTTGAGTGAATATTTATGTTATATGAGCACTTATTTAAACCAATTAAATGGAGCTCTTTTATAATTTAATTTTGACACTGTTATAGGAAGATGGAAAAATATCACACATATATTATACATGTAGGCATACTTAAATATATATATGGAAACAGGTTGAATAGCTTAATTAAAAAATATTAGCCATTTTCCAGGTACAATAATAAAAGCACATTAATTTATTGAGCAACATATGGATTCAAAATTGTTTTTTTTCTAGCCATTAAAGGAAGACTATCCACTGTGTGGCCAAAACTTTTTACTGATGAGAGAGAGAGAGAGAGAGAGAGAGAGACAGACAGACAGACAGACAGACACAGAGAGAGAAGAGAAAAATGAAAAGCAAGAGTAAAAACTTTTTAGAATTTTTTATTTACAAGTTTCTACATAGCTTCTTTTTGTTTTTTTCTTTAGCTCTTTAATCTGATAAGATATCTCCCCTAATTTTGCATTTCCAAAGGGGTGATTCTCAGGTAAGATCAGGTAGAAAATTTACATCTCAAAGGAAAAGAACTTAGACTTGAAGCTTAAATACCATCATTTGCTTAGTTGAGATAAGATGGGCAGAAAAAGTACCTTAAATAAAGGTAAGGCTTGTTAGTAGTTTTAAGCCAATGCCTTCTCCATTACAAGAGTGTCTGATTATTTAGTCCTGGTTTTCCAGTGCAGAGAGGGATACACACTCACAAATGGTGATTTTCTATATAGATGTACATTTCTCTTATAAGAGGCTTGCAAAATAATCATTTGAAAATAACCCTATGCCAGAAAGGCATATTTTAATCCAGTTTGTGTCATTATTTATTTAATTTTTCTGAGTTGGAATCTCACTCTGTTGCCCAGACTGCAGTACCATGGCACACTCCAGGCCACCGCAGCCTCGCCCTGCTGGGCTCCAGCG